CTCTTTTACTTAATAAATATATTAATACGTGAGGTAAAACTTTGTTTAACTTTTCAGCAGTTTCGCATAGGGAGGAATGTGAGATTTAGCAGATTTAATGTTTATATAGAGATGAGGTACAAAAAGCAAAAAAATGTGTTATATTACATATTACACAAATTACACAATACAGAAAAAGCAAATAATGTTATATAACACATTTTTTTTGCTTTTTCTGTAATATAATATTTGAACATAATATATTAAAAAAATTAATTAAACACACATATTCTGTAGTTTGATTAGATAGTTCATATTGCCAATGTCAAATACATGATACTCTTTAGTCAAACAATTGCAAATTGTCTCTATTAGGGTAAAGACATACATATCCGTATTATCGCGGTATTTATTGCAAAAGAATTTTATCAAGAATGAATGAGCTGTGAATTTTGTGTAATTTCAAATAGTCTGTGGTGTATTTCAGGGTTAAAAACCGTTTATTTTATATTTCGAATATGTATATTAAAAGTCTTTGTTTTACATATTAGTTTGTAGTTGAATGTGAAATATAGCTTACTCAAGCTTGCTGCAACGTTGTAAACGAATGCTGTGACCCATAAATGTCTACATCTAATGTCTAAAATACAGATGCGTTGTTACCCCTGAGTGCTAAGAAACAATGCCTCGTTTCCAGTTCTCCAAAGTTACCATACGAAACAGTAGCATTAAGTAGCTATTTTACGCGTGTATTAGCGTGGCCCTTACCCGGTTGAGCCTCTTAATTCGTACCAAAACATTAATATAGCTGCAGCATGGCTTTATCACGTAAAAAAACTGCAGAATGTCTCTACTCCAAACAAATCTGAAAACATTATTTCAATTTTTTATTTTTTTTTATTTTACATTAACTAAAATACTGTTGCGCGGCTAAGTTGACATCTCATCTCATGGCAATAGCGCCATCTAGTGTCGGGTAACAGAGCGAGGAGAGAGCTTTCCAGAAAATGACATGACAAATTTTTTAACCGACAGCGACATCTAGTGTCAAATTGAAGAACTAAACTTTCTAGAAGCTCTACACTCGAACTTTCTTCGTTTGGTCGGTTGGCGCGCGTATTTACTCGAATATTCTGGAATATTCTGGATGTTTTCGTGGAAGAGCCCTATATAAAGGCGCTGCAATACGCGATCGAGGAAGTACTGAAGTTGGCGAGACAAGCGAAGCTTCGGAGCGGAATAAAGTGAATCAGTGTGATTAATTATTAGTGTTTTTAACTTTAATTAGTGTAAAGTGAATTAAAGTGTTGATTTAGGTAATTTCATCGGCAATTTTTATAGTCAAGAACTTCAAGCTCGTAACAATACATACTAAACGAAGTCCATAAATACAGTGCCACATAAACCTTTATAAGATTTTTCTGCACAGTTCGCCGCCTTTCGAGTGCAAACATTTTAATATTATTTAGAGTAAGAAGGTAGTTCGCTCGTTTCTATAAAAGGAGGATGAGTTGTAGTGGCTATTTAGTTAGAGTTGCATACAGGATATTTTTGGAATATACATATGTTAATTATATTACAAATAGTAAATATGTTAGTTTTTTGTTATATTATGTTATTTGATTCAAAAAGTATGTTTTTAATTTGTATTTAATATTTTTGGGATTGATATTTTCCTTCAATTCATTAATTTCGAACTTCATTTCGAACAATATATGGAAGTAATATTTTTTTTAAATATCTGTCTATGTATTTTATAGTAAACAATTACTTGATGGTCATATTCATGTAAATATAAGACTCAATGAAGAACATTTTCTTTTTTTCGACACAGTTTTTCGCTGTCGCTAATTTTTGATACTCTAATTTATGCTAATGAAAATATTGTTGTAATGTAGATGTTTATAATTATAGTGTAAGTATAGTGTAGATGTTATTTTATAATATTTAAAGAACGATATTTTATAGGTACAACAAGGAGTTTTTAATTAGTATTAAACATGAATTAAAAGTAGGAAAATTGTATGCTAAGGTACTAATTGAAAGAAACTAATAGAAAAGCTTGGGATATGCAAACGGGATTATAATATTTTAAAAAGGAAATGGTGTGCACAAATCAAGTCTTTTCCATGCGCATGATCGCGGGAAAGTTCTTGGCGAATAACCAAAAAGTTTTTGTGCGTTCATCGACTAAAAAAAGCTTATGACAGAGTGGACATGGATGTGTTATGGCAAACGCTAAACTCATTTAGGTTGAGCGCTGGGTTGATACAGGCATTTAAGTCTCTGTGTACAGTCGCCAGGGACTCGAATGCTTTTGTTAGGTTCAACGGGGCTTACTTGGCCTGGTTTGGCATCCATAAAGGTGTCAGACAGGGCTGTGTGGCTTTCCCGTGGCTGTTCAACCTATTTATAGACAGTGTTTTGTAAAATTTGAAAGTTGAAGAATACGAGTTAAGAATGGGTGAGTTAGCCGTCAAATGCCTTTTGTACGACGATGATCAAGTCATACTAGCTTATATATAGACTTATATATTACTAGCGTAGGGACCTGGCCGACCGAACAACTAAAACGGATCAGTGCGCTGGCCCTAAAATAACAGCTTATGGCCAACGCGAATCGGTCGACAGTGGTTCGCACGCAGGATAGATTTGCCTCTTAAATATCTGCCTGTTTAAATATCTCTAATTGCGTGGTAAAAGGATGCAAAAATTACGATACAAAGATTAAAAAGAAACATGGGCTTATCGTATCATAGGTTAATACCTTTATATTATTTTTGTTACAATTAAATTATTATATAAACACATTTTAAAGTTTTATTTTACAGTTAGTTTAGTTACGTTACCAAGATTAGGCCAGGGTTGGATTCAGACCCTCAAAAATATTATAAAGATATTATAAAGTTTATAACTTTATAGTGTAAGTATAGTGTAGATGTGATTTTATAATATTTAAAACAAGATATTTTATAGGTACAACAAGGAGCTTTTAATTAGTATTAAACATGAATTAAAAGTAGGAAAATTGTATGCTAAGGTACTAATTGAAAGAATTATGAAAGAAACTAATGGAAAAGCTTGGGATATGCAAACGGGATTGTATTTAGAAAGGAAATGGGGTGCACAGATCAAGTCTTTTCCATGCGCATGATCGCGGAAAAGTTTTTGGCGAATAACCAAAAAGTTTTTGTGCATTCATCGACTTAAAAAAGGCTTATGACAGAGGTTGAGCGCTGGGTTGATACAGGCATTAAAGTCTCTGTATAGGGACTCGAATGCTTTTGTTAGGTTCAACGGGGCCTACTCGGACTGATTTGGCATCCATAAAGGTGTCAGACAGGGCTGTGTGGTTGGTTGATCAAGTCATACTAGCTTATATATAGACTTATATATTACTAGTGTAAGGACCTGGTCGACCGAACAACTAAACGGACCAGTGCGCTGGCCCTAAAATAACAGTTTAGAGCCAACGCGAATTGCTCGACAGTGGTTCGCGCGCAGGATAGATTTGCCTGTCATAAATATGTCTAATTGCGTGGTAAAAGGATGCAAAAATTACGATACAAAGATTAAAAATAAACATGGACTATAGTATCATAGGTTAATAACTTTATATTATTTTTGTTACAATTAAATTATTATATAAACATATTTTAAAGTTTTATTTTACAGTTAGTTTAGTTACGTTACCAAGATTAGGCTAAGGTTGGATTCAGACCCTCAAAAATATTGTACATGCAAAATAAAATTATACTATGTTTAAAAATTATATCACGTTCGACGTTTCATGTTTACTTTTTACCATGTGCCGGGATTTTGGCGTCACGCGTTCCGTTTATCTATACGTTTCGTTTTTTGATGGTTTTATTTTATTTTTGTTTTGTTTTTGTCTAAAGAACTTAGTGTTAGTTAAATTTAGAATGTTGGCACCTAATATATTTTATATTCAATAAGGGTAAAACAAAAAGAGTCCAAAAGAAACCATATCTATTTAATTGAATCTGAAAATTTGATTCGTAAAATATTTTGAAATTTTGTTTTCAAACTTGATATCTTCTGGATCATAGAGTTTTTATCGTGGTAGCCCCCCATTATAATTGTATCAAGGATGCAGCATAAATGCATCGATCAAGCACCGACTGACCAGAAAGGGAGTTAATTCTAATTCTATTTAAAAAACGTGGTAATCATGAACAATACAGAAATTCTCAATATCGTAGGCTTAATATTAAAAAGTAAAAGGACCCAACAATAATACAAGTCGACCTTTAGGTAAAATTATGGTATTTTCGCTTAGTATTATGACGATATTTTATACTATAAACTATGAAACTATGGTACAATTAGGATAATTATTAAATCCGACCCTGGTTACGTCGTGTTATGATATGACGTTTGTATTATGACAGATGCGCTACTTTTTCTTGTATGAAAAAGTTATGAGTAAAATATTTAGATGGTAGGCCCATCCCTCTTCCATCCTTACTTTTGAAATCATTGTATTTGCGTCGTCGGCGGTTACATTAATGCACAGGTCATTAAAAGAAAGTGAAATGAAAGTGAACACAAGTAAGATGGAAGTTATGGTTTTTGAAAGAGAAGAAAGTAGAACGATACGTGAAATAAGAATAGAAGGGGAGTTGCTCGAGCAAGAAGATGAGTTTGTATATATAATTTTTTTCTATTTGAATATAGAACGAAACTTTACTCTTTTAGGCTGGGGATACACATGCCCGTAGCTTGCACACTAGCATACCAGCCCTTTGCACTTGCCAGCTACTGGCATGTGTATACGCTAAGTGGCATGCCTGTAACTAGAATACAACTAGCTAGCACAACATTTGATTTATTTGCATGCCCGTTGAGGGAGGGGACGCGGGGGGTTGCCAAACTGGCACGTGTGAACAGACGCGACAGCTACGGGCATGCCAGTAGCTGACTCGTTGTGGTCGTAGGCGCACGTTATTGTTTTTTTCGAAGGTCAAGTCTTCTTTTGTTGGTTTTTTTTTGTATTCAACATGGCACAGTGGGGAGATAAGAGAACTATACAGTTCATTCATTTGTACAGAGACTACGAATGTCTTTGGAAGCCGACTAGCCCGCTTTACAAAAACAAAATAGCACGTGCCAATGCCTACACCAAAATACAAGAAGGATTTAGTATGACTCAAGAAAAAATTAAAAAAAAATCAAAAGTCTGCGAAGTACTTATCATCAAGAAAAGAATAAAGTGGAAAATTCAAAACGATCCGGAGCTGGATCCAGTGAAATTTATAAACCCAGTTTGATGTGGTATAAGGAAACGGATTTTATAAATGAAAGTTTCGATTATAGAAACTCAATCCAAACCGCTGTTGTAAGTACCTACTCTTTCTCTTTAACACGCTTTTATTAGCTTCATATGTTTGTAACCGACTTCTTTAGACTCGATTTACACAGAATAATATCAGCTTATATTAAAAATTATGTTTTACTTTTTAGTTCGATGTGCTCTAAAAGCGTGTTTTTTTTAGATTTTTATACTATATTTTTATCTATTATTATGTAAAAAAAAGTTGACACAATAGTTATATTAAGCAAAAGTACTTAGACAATTACATTTATTTATTTAAAATATTAATCATACGATCTTGCCAAGGCACTGCTTCTGTTGTAATGAAAAGATCTGCATATTTATTTCTAATAAGTATCGCTTCTCTAGACGATCGATTATTTCGTGTTCCTGATAAATTCCATAAAGATCTTTGTAACTGATCACGCCAGAAGACGTTAATAATAGTACTGAGTTGAATATCTTCATAATCCACACACCTTTGTGTGATATAAGCATTAGTGGTTTTCCGCAACCAATTGTATAAAGAACATGCCGCTAATACTATGACGTCAACTTTTTCTGGTTTAAGAGCTATAAATGATTCAAAAATTCGGAATCTTGATACAAGGATACCGAACTCATTTTCGACAATTCGCCTGGCCTTTGACAACCGATAATTAAAAACTTTTCTCTTCGGGTGGCCCTGGTAGGAAACGGTTTTATGAGATATATTTTTAAGGGAAAAGCTGCATCTCCAACTATAACAGAATGTTCAGGAATATCTAAATAATTATTTTCTAGTGCTTGTTTCAAGACTGATCTTTCAAACACTCCTCCATCTGAAGCTCTGCCGTTGCATCCTATATCAATATAAGAAAAACAGTAATCGTCATCCACCAATGCTAGTAGCACTATGCTGTGGCTTCCTTTATAATTAAAATAATTTGATATTTCGTCAGGAGCAATAATATTTATGTGTTTGCCATCGATAGCTCCAATACAGCCTGCAAAGTTCAATTTGGTTCGAAAGCCATTTTCTATCTCCTTCCATTGCTGCCTCGTAGGAATCTGAAAACAAAATGTCTGTTAACACATATAAAGTAACGAATATTACCTGCAACACTTAATTAAAAAAATAAAATTTACAGGTACAAAAGTCCTCTCAATCGAACACTGAAACAGAAACACCACGCTTTCAAAGAGGTACTTCATCAGACCAGCAATCCTCCTCTCAAACAGTCAACTCACCAAACAACAAAACATTCTCTGTCGCAGTCGACCAATCACACTCATGCAATCAAGCAAGCATTACAAACGAGCAAGTACCATCACCCTCTCTCCAGGACCAGCAATCCTCCTCTCGCACTGCAGCAGTCAACCGACCAGACAAAACTAGTCAGACTAAGAAAAAAACGTGTAGAGAAAGACGAAACCTTAACTGCACTTCAACGTCTGGAAAATATTGCTACTGCAATCAATAATCCTGGATCAAATGAAAAAGAAAAAGATGAGTTTTATTATTTCGGACAAAGTGTTGCTGCTCAGTTAAGATTATTGCCATTAAATAACGCTCTGGATATGCAATCCAAAATTCAAGTTTTGCTAAGTACAGAAAGGTCTCGATTGTCCACTTCATATTCTCATCCCCCCACTCCGTATTCTAACACATCTATATATTCTTAAGAAATAGCAGCATCTTCTGCCGATGATCGATTCATACACATAATACCATACACGCAGTCGAAAACTACAGGAGATAACACTATCACTTTTGGTCAAGAATCAGGACAGAATATTTTTGACCAAGCTTGGAATAATGCCTAATTTCTATGCTGAAATAAATAAAAAACATGAAAGATATTCAACATTGTTTTACTCACTTTAATAAAATCCCTTAGTGCAGTAGCTATTTCACTACAAACAATTGGAACGAACTGTGAAATCGTCGATTTTCCTACTCTTTACAATGCTTCTAAAGATACAAATGAATCACCTGTAGCTAAAAATCTTAATGTTATTTCCAATTTGGTTTTTGCTGGGATGGCATTTCGCATGTGAGTATGATTTTTTGTTATTTTGTCCCTAATTTTTCCTAACAATTCATCAAATTTTTCTGGGAGCATTCTAAAATGGTTTTTGTAACCATCAGGATCTTCTTGACGCATTTCTTTAAGCAGACAACTACTTGCTCCAAAATCATCCCTTCTACTAATCCAATCTATTACCCAAGCCCGTCTTCTTCTTTTTCTCTTTTTATCTCTCATTAATTTAGCTACACATTCAATTGCTAGTAACAACACGATTTTGTTTAATTCACTTCGATTGTTATCCATTTTTGGCACGCAAGAATAGGTATCGAGTGACACTCATGAACTATCCTGTGTATACGCAATGGTAATACTGGCATGCAAGGGCACAACTTGCATGCCAGTATTACATGCAAATGTATCCGCAGTGTGCCAGTTACTCGTACATGCCAGTAACTTTCATGCCAGCTACTATCTCGATTTACTGGCATGTGTATCCCCAGCATTATGGAAAGTCATAATGTGTCAAAAATGCACGTAGGCAAGGAAAATGGGCCAAATTAAGAGTACCCTGTATGGATGTAGAGAAGGTGAGAGAGGTTTGTCACCCGATGTCGACCCACCCATTTCTTGTTTGAAATTTATCGATTGTTTCACTTAAAACCTGTTTCACACATTTGTTTTTTATTTTGAGGGTCGGATATGATGTTGACACCTTGTTTGTCTTTTTTGAATTTTTTATACAGAAATACTGTTGAGTGCTGATTTCGTTGTTTTACGTCAGAACAAGTTCGAACCGTTATTTAAGTCCGACACAGACTTTTGTAGGGATTTCTCGTTAATAACGTTAAGTTTATTTACTGAGGCTGTAGCTTTGATTACTTTGTCTAAAAATAATGGACACTACTGAAGCTGAGGCGGCCCAAGTTGTGGCTTTGCTGCAACAAGGCTTAAGTCAACGTGTCGTGGCCAGGAGGTGAAATCTGAGCCGTTCTGCAGTGCGACGAGTTTACCAAAGGTTTCTGGAGACTGGGCAGTATCGAAGAAGATCTGGATCTGGAAGACATAGGGTGACAACTCAAAGGGATGACCGATTTATAGTGTTATCAGCTCTACGAAATCGACATCTATCTGGTGTTGATCTCCAGCGACGCTTACGTGAAGATTGAGGTGTAGCTATAAGTGATAGTACTGTAGGAAGGAGACTTCGTGAGCAGAATTTAGGACCTCACAAGCCAGCAACAAGACTACAATTGACCACAGCTCATCGACAAGCCAGACTTCAATTTGCGCGTAACCACATCAACTGGACTATAGGCCAATGGGAGTCAGTTCTTTTTAGTGATGAGAGTCGAATAACTTTATACGGTTCTGACGATAGACCAGGTGAACATTATACCCAGTGTTGCATAAGAGAAACTGTCAGTTATGGTGGAGGCTCTGTAATGTTTTGGGCTGGGATATCATTGACTGGACGCACTGAGCTGGTTTTCATACGAAGAGGTGCTTTAACTACAGCACGCTAGGTACATCACAGAAATCTTAGAAGACCATGTGGTGCCACACGCCGCCTATATTGGAGAGACCTTTGAATTAATGCATGATAATGCACGACCACACGTAGCGCGCATCACAACCAATTACCTTGAAGAGGTCGGCATTCGGGTTATATCGTGGCCAGCAAGAAGCCCTGATCTCAACCCTATAGAGCACATGTGGGACACCCTAAAACAAAAGGTTAGAGACCTTAATCCAGTCCCTACAACATTAGGAGACCTTGAAACCGCCATTAGGGAAGAATGAAACTGAATCCCTCAAGAGACGATCAAAATCTTGATAAGGTCATTAAAACGGCGAATGCAGGCTGTTATTCGAGTAAGAGGAGGGAATACGCAATATTAAAAATGTGTACATAAAATTCAATACATAAAGACTAGAGCGTATTGAAAATTAATAAAAATAATCGTGAAAAATGAAAGATTTTGGTTTTTAAAAGAAAATTACTTTCAAAAATCATTTTGATGTTGTAACTGTGAGTAAATTGGTGTAAATAAACAAGTTAAATAAAACATTTCAGTACTTAAACGTTTTGATTGGTTCTGCTTTAGAAAAACGTGATTTGCGGCAAAAACGCAGGTGGGCCGATTTTTTTGATGGCTAAAAAAAAATATATATATATATATATATATATATATATATATATATATATATATATAATATCAATTAAAACCATTCTATACAGTAATATAATTATAAAAAGTGTTTTAGTACCAAACTATACTGTAGTTATAAATATATTAGCAATTTTTTTCTATAACCTGAACATATTTAACTCCACTTTAAAGTGTTAATTACTCTTGACCTCTTATTTACGAGTATCGAAGTGGGCTCTTTTGCTGGAGGGAGTATGAAGCAATCGAACGAACGAGAAAATATAACAAAATTCAAGTCTTATTTCTTTTATTACAGGGAAACTGATAAAATTTAATTTAATTAGATGTTGGAGTCGTGTTGGAGGCTAGTAAGCCTTCATTGCTTCCTATTATGCGGGTATTCAATTTTGTATATTATGACAGGTGTACATATTTAAACCGGCGGCAAATGAACTTACAGTTTTTTTTAATTGTCCTAAGCCAGCGCATTGTAGCTAACACAATTCTACCTGAAGGTATGTGGTGATGTAGCCTAAGATGGTGAAGCGCACTCATTTAATAAAAATCTATTCACTCTTGCCTTGAACGCACACTGTAATCCGATAAAAAGACATGTGCTGGCATCTTATTCCGCTCCTTTGCTGTACCCATGATGAACGACGTAGCAAACCGTTTGGTTCGAATGCGCGGTAAGTCAACAACGAAAGGGCTGGCCGAACGTCACGTTGTCCGATGGTGGAAGGGAGAGGGAGGAATTAAATTATGCAATTTCTGCGCACACTCTCCGAAATGCA